ATGTCATCGGATCTGGGAGTGCCCGCATGGCGAACGACAGAGAGCTGAAGTGTGCCCACCCGGCTTACGTGAGGACGCAAAGAAAGCAAAATCCAGTTGTCTGTTTACGCGTGCTTAGCCCCATGGGTTTCACGCTCCTGATCCAGCGGAAAGCACCCTTTGAACTTTCCAAGGTGGACCGTGCTTTACTCGGACTGGTCCTGTCTGCTGACTGGTTTCTCGGACCTGGCCCGCCAGGCTTTGGAGCTTGTGAGATGGACTCGTCGGGACAAATGGTTCAGGGCACTTACGGACCTATCCCCCGTTTGTTTGATCAGAGCTCCTGTGCTGTGTGGCCGAGCATGCTGCTACCATGGTGGCTCCCATTCACACTGAGGAGCCGTTCCCGAGCCAGATCGCCATTGATTTCAAAGCTCTGCTGAAGGCTGCCATTAACCCCACAGCAGCCCTCAGTGGGAACACTCTCCACACGCACTTCTCTGTGAAATTGCAGTAGAGTTGGCCGAAGACTGGTTTGACCTTAGGCATGTGAAGGCTCACCGAAGGAACTCGGATGCGGCCAACTCAGACGATGAGAAATATATTGCTGGCAACAGAGGTGCGGACTGGTTAGCCAACCAAGGAGCCCGCACTCATGATTTTGACCAGCACGCTTGTGATGAGATAAAGCACACTCGAACTCATTGCAAGGTGGTTTTCAGTGTTGCTGCACAGATCTTGGCCGAGTGGCCCGTCCCAGCAGAGTTGCACCCAGAGCTAAGCAAGGGGAATGTAGGCCCTCGTGCTGCTGCTAGTCGGTGTCCAGAAGCCCACACACTCCTTGTTAGATCGGGGCAGCGTGGAGATGGGCGTGCTGTCTCCGTTGCGTGCCGGCCAAGACCCGATTCGAAAGCAGGAGCCTGAACCCTAGTATTTATCCTGAGGGTCCGCAGGCAACCTGGACACTTCGGCCACACAGTCGACGTGGCCTGGGCCCTGCCTCACGATTTCCCCATAATTGTTGCTGCTCAGTGCAGCAAGTGTTCGACGGAGAGGGCGCTCAAACGCAGTGAGCGCTGTATGCCACACCGTACTTCTAAGGAGCTCCGTACCCTCCTGGTACGGGCGCCTCCCGGGAACCAACCAGCTCCTTCGACCAGCCACCGACCCAGGAAGCACAGACCTCAAGGGCGTCGTCGGCGGTGTGCATGGGGGCCAGGGAGGGGTAGTCGCCCCAGGGGGAGGGCAGGAGGGAGTCTCCTAACTGGGTTTGGATGTTCCCTTTTTCCTCTGTAGTTGCACATGTGGGGCTACAGTCACATTGGCCTCTGCGGGTTTTGTAAGAGGAGGAGGAGGAGGAGGAGGAGGAGGAGGAGGAGGAGGAGGAGGAGGGAGGGAAGAAGGGATGGAGGTAGGAAAGGCGAGGACGGGAGGAGAAGGAGAAGCGAGGGAGGAAGGGAGAGTGAAAGGCAGATAGGGCGCACGAGGACGATGACAAGGAGGAAGAAGAGGAGAAGGAGAATGACGACGACGACAACGACGATGATGATGACGATGATGATGCTGATGATGACGATGCTGAGGAGGATAATGATTAGGAGGAGGAAGAGGAGGAGCAGAAATTTGGTAATGGTGGTAATGGTGATGGTGATGGTGATGGCGGTGGTGATGGTAATGGTGATGGTGATGGTGATGCCGATGGTGATGGTGGAGATGGTGGCGCTGGTGATGGTCATGCTAATGATGATGATGCTGATGGTGATGATGGTGATGCTGATGGTGATGATGATGACGATGACGACGACGATGATGGTGATGATGATGATGATGACGGTGATGATGATGAGGATGATGATGGGGATGAAGATGATGATGCGGAGGATGCTGATGATGATGCTGCTGATGATGATGACGAAGGGTTGTGGTCGTGATGATGATGGTGATGATGATGATGGTGATGACACTGATGATCGTGGTGCTGATGTGTATGATGATGACGGCGATGACAGCGTGATGGTAGTGGTGATAGAAATGATGAGGCGGATGCCAATCCTGAAGCTGGTGGTGATGATAATGGTGGTGCTGATGAAGGCGATGGTGGTGATGCTGATGACCATCACCATCATCATCATCACCACCATTACTATCACCATCACCATCACCATCATCAGCAGCATCAACACCACCATCACCACCATCACCAACACCATCAGCATCACCGTCATTCTCACCATTACCATCACCAGCATCGTCATCAGCATCAGCATCAGCATCAGCATCAGCATCAGCATCAGCATCAGCATCAGCAGCAGCAGCAGCATCATCATCATCATCATCATCATCATCATCATCATCATCATTATCATCATCATCATCATCATCATCATCATCATCATCATCATCATCATCATCATCATCATCATCATCATCATCATCATCATCGTCATCATGCGCCAGCGCGTCCTGCTCTGGGGCGGGCGGCGGCTCCGTGGCGGCGGGTGGCTGCTCGCTGGGCGGCGGCCCGCGCGGCGGCTGGGTGGGCGGCGGGGGGTTGCTTGCGGGCACCGGCGGGAGGCCCTGGGTTCCGGCGGGCCTCTGGTCCTGCGCACGAGGGGGTGACGTGGTGTCGTCGTCGTCGTCGGCAACGTCGGCGTCGGCGTGGGAGGTGGGCGTGGGCGTGGGCGTGGGCGTCGTCGTCGGCCTTTTCCTCGTCGCTGCCTTCGCCTTCGCCTTCGCTCGCCGTCGTCGTCGTCTGCGCACGAAGGGGCGACGAAGAGGGGGGGACGCAGGTCGAGATTCGGGCAACTTTTGGGCCTCCTGGGCGCACCTTCTCGCCTCGTCTGTACGCAGCGAAGGAAGAGGAAGGAGGAGGAGCAATGGAGAGGAGGCTGGAACTGAGCCCTGAGGGGCGAGAAGGAGGAGAACGACGACGAGGCAGGTGCGGAGTGAAGGTTCGTCAGAAGTCGGATCACAAAAAAAAAGTAAGCCCTTCCTCCGCCCCTCCCCCGCTCACTCCGTCGAACACCCTGAGGACCGGAAAAAAACAACTCCTGGAACACAGCCTCCGTCACACAACCCAAAGGCGGTGGCGGGACTTACCCAAAACACCTGCTGAGTTGTCACACGGTTGCTCTATTATGTTAGCCGCTTGCCGCTTCAAGCTTCCGACCCCACGTCACGGCTAAAACAAATGTCGTGCCGCGTCGCCCCCTCCCCCCGTCGTGCTAACTCTGCGCGTCCTCCTTCTCATCATCGTGGCCTTCCCCTTTTGCACCCCCCATCCCTTCCCTCATCTTCTGTTCTGCCGTCTCCTGCGCATCCTCCGCGTCTTCCTCGCTTCCTGTTGCGTCGCCCCTTCCTCCTCCTCCTCTTCCACCTCCTCCTCATCATCCTGCGAAGGTGTGCCCAGAGCCAATGTGCAGGGTGCTAGGCAAAGCCATGCTCGATGCCATATCACTATCGCTGACAGCATGAGAATCTGACCAGGATGAACCGCCAATTTCTAACTTGCGTAAACTCTTATTGTTGCTGCTGTTGTAATTGCTGATCCGTTCGTACTGCTGCGGACCTTTCAGACATAAGACGAGATTGTGCAGTAAGAGCTAGGCGCAGACACACATCCACAAGCGAGAAAACAAAGCATTCTCCCACAGGGGATCGAGAGCTGGACGAGACGCACCACATCGCTATAATGTCTGCGATGGAGGCCCATCAGCGAACTCAGTGAAGAGGCAGCAGTGCCCACACTTCCTCCTCCTTAATCTCCCCTCCTTCCTGAACATACTTTGTATAGACTTGCTGCCAATCGGGCTGAGGCGCTCAGGAGAAGACGTGCCAAACAGGTGGATCGAAGCGCCTGCCCATTGACACACTCAATATCTTCGGTGCCAGTTCAGTGCAGCAGCCGACCGTAACCCAAGCGTACCCATCGGTCGGAAGAAGTAGGTAGAAACATGAAGTAGGAAGGCGTTGGAAATAGATTGAGTTTCCGCCCGCCTCCTGAAGAGGAGGGAAGAGGGACAACCACTCGACTCTTGAAGTAGGAAGGCGCTGAAAGTAGATTGGCATCTGGGAGTCCAAAAATACCTACTTTCAACGACCGATGGGTAATTGGCCCAGTCAGATCTACACAGGTGGTTCGAGGCTGCCACTCCCCAGCCCTCCTCCGACTCTGTGTGACGTAAGTTCTGTTCTGGCTGAGCAGCTCTCCACGCGTGCTCCCTCGTCCCTTCGGCCCGCCCTCGGCGGGCATGCGGCCTGCATCTCTGTGCGAATGCTGCTGCACGCTCGCGGCTGTGGTTCCCTCGAGGGGCCTTTGCGCGGGCTTCCGATCCGACCCGATCCGATCGGGCCCGATCCGATCCAATCCGATACAATCCGATCCGAACATATCCGATCCGATCCGGTCCTCCTCCTCCTCCTCCTCCTCCTCCTCCTCCTCTTCTCCGCCTCCTCCTCCTCATCTTCCATCCGCCTCCTCCTCCTCCTCCTCTCCTCCTCCTCCTCCTCCTCCTCCTCGTTCCGTTTTATACCAGCAAATCAAAAGGTTTCCCTCGACCTCGGCGGGCCCGCGAACGCATCCACCACAAGCGTAGAAGCACACTGACCCATACGCCTTCCCACGCGTTGCCTCAGCTTCACGCCACCACCTTGCATCGCGTCCACCTCTGGTTCACAGGGTGCAGCATCTGGCTCGCTTCAACTTTCCTTGCCGAGCGATCAAAGCGAAATCGCTGCCGTGCTCAAGGAAAATCGTTCCGAGGTAGCCCATTGCCACATGGGCCCGGCATCCAAACGCCTTTCGATATCTCGTCGTGGATCCTTGCTCTGCGCAGTTCTTCCGCACCACCCTACTCCCCTGCTTTTAAAATATGGCGCTGTCGCTGGTCCCCGGTGATGTTCTCCTGCCACGCCACAAGAAACGCCCAACAGGCCCTAAGTGGCCCCCAGCCCAAGAGGCCCAAAAGAGGCCCCCAGAGGTTCCCGAAGAAGCCCCGAGAGGACTCACCCGTGGACTTCTTCCCCCTTTCGGGGGTCGGCGGAATGCCGTAAGCCTCTTGAGTAGCCTCCTGGAACAATAGAACCGGCTAAAACCAACAAAGTCTTCCTCAAAGCCTAGACGCTCCTCCTCCACTTACTCCTCCATCTCCTTCTCCTCCTCCTCCTCCTCATCCTCCTCCTCCCCTGCCTCATCATCATCATCATCATCATCATCATCATCATCATCATCATCATCATCATCATCATCATCATCATCATCATCATCATCATCATCATCACCCCCACCATCATCGTCATCATCATCACCACCACCACCACCACCACCATCATCATCATCATCATCATCATCATCATCATCATCATCATCATCATCATCATCATCATCATCATCATCATCATCATCGCCGTCATCATCATCATCATCATCATCGTCATCATCATCATCATTTTTCATCATCCACATCAACAACAATATCATCATCATCATCAGCTGCATCATCAGCATCATCGTCATCAGCATCAGCATCAGCATCATCATCATATCATCATCATTATCATCATCGTCGACATCATCATCATCATCATCATCATCATCATCATTATCATCATCATTATCATCATCGTATTTGGCATCATCATTACCATCATCATCATCATCATCATCATCATCAGCATCATCATCATCATCATCATCGTCATCATCATCGGCAGCAGCAGCAACAGCATCATTATCAGCAGCAGAATCACTATCATAATCATCATCATCACCATTATAACCATCATCATCATCGTCGACGTCGTCGTCGACGTCGTGGTTATCATCATAATCATCATGATCATCATCATGATCATCATCATCATCAGCAGCAGCATCAGCATCAGCATCATCATTATCAAATTCAGCATCAGCATCAGCATCACCATCATCATCACCATCAGCATCATCATAACCAGCAGCATCGTCAGCAGCATCATCATCATCATCATCATCATCGTCATCATCATCATCATCATCGTCATCGTCATCGTCATCATCGTCATCAGCATCATCATTATTCCTCCTCCTCCTCCTTCTCCTCCTCATCCTCCTCCTCTCCTTCCGCCTCGACTTTCTCTTCATCCTCTCCCTCATCCTCATCCCGTTTTTGGAGGGCGAAGGGTGAAGAATAAAAAGAGGACGACGGGAATGACCAGCCGTCGTCGTCTTCGACCAATTCCTCGTCGTCGCCGTCGACTTCACCTTTGCCCTCGCCATCGCCTTCGCCATCACCTTCGCGTTCGTTGTCGCCGACGCGGCCGCAGCCGTCGGGGGGCTCCTGAGCGACCTCCCGCACCTTCGGCTCCGGCGCCCGGTCGTGCGGCGAGCTCGAATGCAAGCTGAAGGTGTCGCGGCCGGTGCACCGGCCCTCGGCACCGCTGATGCTCCTGCCCTCTCCAGGAGGGAGGAACGGAGAGGGGGGGGGGGGATGGAGGAAAGTGAGAGAGAAGGAGAGAGGGGACGAAGAGGAGGAAGAGAACAATGATGAGGAGGAGGAGGAGAAGGAGGAGGAGGAGGAGAAGAAGGAGGAAGAAAGGGAGGAGGAGGAGGAAGAGGAGGAGGAGGAGGAGAGGGAGGAGGAGAAGGATAACAATGAGGAGGAGGAGGAGGAGGAAAGGGAGGAGGAGGAGGAGGAAGAGGAGGAGGAGGAGGAGGAAGAGCAGGAGAAGGAGGAGGGGGAGGAGGCAGCAGGACAGGGGAAGCGACGAGAGAACACGAAATATAAACGAAGATCCTGGGCATGGCAAGCCATCTCGGTCCCAAGCAATTGATCGGCCGAGATTCTGCGAGAAATCCTGACTGCCACCAAAAAAGTGCACGGTGCGATGCGACCACCGTTGCGGACAGTGTCCGGGCCTAGCTCAGACCAGGTGGGTGAGGCCATGGCCTCGAGAATCTGGCTTACTTGGATACATACAATGCGAAACACACAGAACAGTTAGGAAGAGAGAAGGAATAATAATATTAATAATCAGAACACTAAGAAAACGAATCATACCAATAATGAGATGAATATTCGTAATAATAATTATGATAGTTATAAAAGAACAACAATACTAACAATAATGAGAATACTACCACTCTTAATATTAGTTATAACAATAATAAAGAAACAATAATGATGGTACTGATAATAAGACGAAGACGTGGAAGTTCATGGTGGCGGTGTCGGCGCGGGCTGGGAGTGTTGTCTCGACTTTCTCTGGGCGTTTAATTGTTTGCTGGTGTGAGGTCGGTGTGATGATGCTCGAGCGCCATCCTTGTTTTGGTGTCTCGGACTGTTTGCATCCATGTGATGTCGTTTGGTCGTTTGTGTATGTGTGGATGACAGTGGAGGCCCCCCTGAACACCACACGGTCACGTCATGGCCAATAGATCAGAGACTCGCCACTTGGCATCACAGGATCAACGGGTCCAATAACACGGCACCTCACGGGCACCACACAGCACCACAAAGATCCGAGAATCAGGGGCACGGCAAAGCACACGGCAGCGCAGCACCGGCAACGGACCCGAGAGTGGAAGCACGGCACCACGAGGCACCACACGGGCAGCGGATACGAAGCTTCTGGACGCAGCGCCACGCAGCGCAGTGCAGGCAACGGGCCCGCGAGTTGGGCAACCCCGGTGGCACCTGGGGGGGGACTCGAATCCGAGACGTGGGCGCACAAGCGTGAGGAGGAAGGGAACGAGGGCAAGAGGGGGAAGGGCAAGAGGAGGAGCAGGAGGAGGAGGAGGAGGAGGAGGAGGAGGAGGAGGAGGAGGAGGAGGAGGAAGAGCAAGAGGGGAAAGAGAAGGAAGAAAGGGAGTGTGTTAACCTCTACGGCTTCACGCCCTCACTCGAGAGGATCAGGATGATGGAAGGAACCTGACGTTCCTCTCCCTCTTGTTCTGCTGGAGAGGCCTGCCGTAGCAAACGTTTTCCCATGCCCAACTTCAGCCTCCTCCTTTCCAGAGCAAGGGGATGCGAGCTTGACGACCCTGCCACCAGTACTGTAATGGTGGCAGTATCAAGCACCTGCAAAATTACGAGCTGCCGGAGCAGTTTATAAGCGCACATCGACGGCCGCTGGCAGAAAGCATCTCTTGATTCAAACGAGGGGGGCACACTGCAACTGCCTGGAAGGGGGCGGCTCTGACCTCTCTTCCTCAGCGGGCAAACTTCGCAGTACCAAAATATCGAGACCCAGCTCAAAGAGTGCCGTGGGCACCTGATCTTCGGGGAGGCCTCGGGCATGCAAGACCCAGCTCCAGACACTGGCGGCTAGTGTGGCAACAACACGCACAATTCCAACATATGTGTCGATCCTTTCTCTGGTTTCGGGGTCGGGGTCATGGTGCTTGATGGGTTCTTTTTGTTTGGCCGTTCGGTCAGCGAAATGATTGTCGATGCGACGGTAGGTCTCTTCGGGTGAGACCCAATCCTCGTCGATCTGCTGATGAGCGGCCACCTGGGAACCCCCTCTGGATACTCCCAAAGCAAGCCCCGAAAACCCGTCTAGGACCGAGCCAGCATAGGCCCTATGACCCGAGACCCTGCAGTAAGAAGCCCTCTGAGCCACGGGAACGACGCCGCCGTGAGCAGGAAGGAAATGAGACAGCCTCCCCGTCTAGAAAAGCAGCAGCAAAAGGACCAGATTCACCAGCCTGCGGGGACTGAAGCATGCGGCCCCGGACGGAGCCGCACATCCAGGCCAAGAGTTCCCCCTCCAGGGAAACCTCTGACACTCACTACGTCGAGCTGCTCAACTCCATAACGACACTCTTGAAGCAGATGCCGTCCAGGCAAGATGTATCCCGAGAAGGTCCCCCCAAGACCACCCATGGCCTCACTGTCAGCACTGTGGACTCTGAAGTCCTCGAAGACAGCGCCAAGCATACCGTCCTGGGCCAGGGCCTTGGGCTCGAAGTCGCATGGGCGGGAAAACGCACATATGAGGAACGCGAGGAGATCGGGCGAGTTCTGCGCCAGGGCCTCCAGAGCCTCTTGGGAGAGCTCCTCCTTGACCTCCTGAAGCGCCTTTCGTCTTAAGTAACTGCGCAAGCCCACAACCTGTGGAAGACGGCGTTTGGATGCAGACCGCACTTAGCACAAAACAGGAATCTCGGCGTCCCTTGGCCAGCGCCCTGACCTGTGTCCAGATCGCATTGCACCGTAAGGATCGGGCGCATCTCGTTTCGGAGCGAAAGAACTTTGAGGATCCGAGCGACGGCTGGATCACATCAAAGCGCAGGCTGGGGTACCCTCCCTCGACAGGAGGGGCACGCCGAACTTGTGGCACGTCCTCCTGGCTCCGCAGCGGGCGAGTGTCCAGGGTGCGCCGCAGCGGCGCTGGCGTCAGAGGGCAACGGGCTGACCAGCACGCGGGAGGAGACCGAGGAGGTGAGGAGGAGGAGCAGGAGGAGGACGAGAAGGAAGAAGAAACGGAGGAGGAGGGGGAGGACCAGCGTTAAGTCGGGCGCGTCCCCCTACAGGGGGGTTTTGGGCGATAAATGGGAAATACTAAAAAAAACCTCCCAAATGCTCAAACATCGTCAAACATAGTCCCCAGACTCTGTTGTTTTACTATGTTTGAATATTCCCCCTGTAGAGGGACACGCCCGACTTAAGACCAGCGTAAACCCAAGACTCATCAACGATGCTGGAATACACCTTCCCTCCAAGCTCCCTCTTCACAGGCCCCTGCAAAACAATCGTTCTCACTGGAAAGAGTGTCCCGTTGGCGGACAATCGGGCGAACATCCGGAAGCGCACGAAAGCACCATTCCCAGGACGTCAACGCCACGAGTCAGCCCGTCTTGACCGTCCTGAACCGTGCCTCTTGAAACTTCAACACCAATGCTGCGCCCTGACAATCCTGAGCCGTTCCAAAACACCTTTTCTGGCACGTTAACCATGAGAACCAGTACACCACCTGCTACATGTTAAGGCGAGTGTGCGACGCGCTAAGGCGAAAGCCGCGTTTTGAAAAAAAACGCAGTCCTCAACTCGCGAGCTCTTGCAACGTTTAGAACGAATGCGCGCGACGCTAAGGCGGTAACCGCAATTTGAAAAGGGGCCGCCCCCACTCTCGGAAACTCTTGCAACGTTTTAAAACGAACGTGCGCGGCGCTATGGCGAGAGCAACAATTGGAAACCGACCCGTCCCCAATCCATGAAGCTCTGCTTAGAACGAATGCGCGCGGCGCTAAGACGAGAACCACAGTTTGAAACCGGCCCGCCCTCCACCCATGAAGCTCTTGCAACTGTTTTAACACAAGCATGCGCGACGCTAAGGCGAAAGCCACACTTCGTGCTTAAAACAAGCGTGCGCGGCGCGAAGGCGAGAGCCACATTTTGAAAACGGCAGGCCCGCAATCCATGAAACCCTTGCAACGTTTGAAACGAATGCGTGCGGCACCACGGCGATAGCTGCATTTTGGAAGCGGCCCGCCCTCCTTCTGTGAAGCGGTCACCATGTGTTCAGCGTGAGGCTCATAAACGGTAAGGAAATCTCCGGCGAGACGCCTGGCCCGCCCTCCCGACTGACCCTGGGGTGCGACAGGGAGGAGCAATTCACAAGGAAAAGGAAGGTCGGAGGTGAAGGAGGGGGAGAAGAGAGGAGAGGACGAGGACGAGGAGGGAGGGGCCCACAACCCTGTCGCGCCAGGTCAGCACCCGCAGGACGGCCCAGGACTCCTCGGCGGCCTGGCGCTTCGGAGGGCGCACGGTTCGGCGGCCGCGCGCGCGCGTCGGCGCGTGCCGACGCGCCTCGTCCTCCCTCCTCCCTCCTCCCTCCTCCATCCTCTCCTCCTCCTGCTCCTCCTCCTCCTCCTCCTGCTCCTCCTCCTCCTCCTCCGCCTCCTCCTCCTCCTCCTCCTCCATCCTCTCCTCCTCCCTCCTCTCTCCTCCTCCTCCTCCTCTCCTCCTCCTCCTCCTCCTCTCCTCCTCCGCCTCCTACTCTTCCTCCTCCTCCTCCTCCTCCTGCTCTCCTCCTCCTCGTCCTCCTCCTCCTCCTGCTCCTCTTCTCTCCCTCCTCCTCCTCCTCCTCCCCATCCTGCTCCTCCTTCTCCTCCTCCTTCTCATCCTCCCCTTCCTCCTCCTCCTCCCCCTCCCCTCCTCCTCCTCCTCCTCCTCCTCCTCCTCCTCCACCTCCTCCCCGTCGTCCTCCTCCCCCCCATCCTCCTCCCCCCCAGTTAGAGCAGTTAGAGAGGAAAGGGGGCAGAGTGGAGTGCAGGATGGTCGAGGCTAAAGCTGCAAAAAGAATCATGAAAGAAGGTACAAGCCCGGCGGCAATGTTTGGGCTGCTACCCCGGGTGTTACGATGCACCCCTAACCTTCAGGGCCACGGGACCCACGTGCTTTGTGCCAACTGTTTTCCGGCTTAGCAGTGTCGCTGGCGATGTCAGTGGCATCACGTGGAGCTGTTACCCGTGTCGGTTAAATAGGGGGCCACTCCCTGTGTCCATGGGGGGCTGAAAGGTAGAGTACACCCATCTGCTGAAATAGTTTGTGTTCGACAGAAGTAAGCAGTGTGAGTATGAACAGAGCAAAGTTTGTGAGAACCTTAGAATGATAGCATGATCAAGAGGAGGAACGAGTATGGATCAAAATTAATTCCTGCACCTCCTTATCATCATCAGAATCCTCTTCTTCGTCTTATTCATAGTATGATCAGCATCGTTGTCACGGTTAACACTATTGTTACGAATTCTTTTTACTAATCACTTGTATTAATTAAATGCGTATGAATATCATTGGTGTTAGTACTAGCAGAATCGTTAGTATTATCGTCATTTGCATTCTCATTCGTATTATTATTCCTTTTTTGATACATAATGCTGATACTAGTCGCCACCGTGCCTGGGTTGTGGGTCTGAGGCCTCTTGTATATGTGCTGGGGTGTCGTGGGGAGCCTCTCGAGGGTCACTTGGAGGTGGTTAGGGCGCCTTTGGGGAGCCTCTTAGGGCCTAGTGGGGTATCTTGTGGGCTTCTTGGGGGCCTCTTGTGCGCATCTTGGGCGCCTCTTGGGGCCTCCTGGACCTCGGGGGCGCGAGTGTGGTTTCATTTGCACGGGATCCTGGCCTCGGGAGCGCGAATGTGGTGCAATTTACTTGAGATCGCGGCCTCGGGGGCGCGAATGTGGTGCAGTTTACAAAAGGATCGTAGCCTCGGGGGCGCGACCGTGGCGTAAGTTGCATAGGATCGTGGCCCCAGAGACGACAATGTGGCGTAATTTACTGAAGATCGTGGCCTCAGGAGCGCGAACATGGTGTATTCTACATAGGGGTCGTGGCTTCGGGAACGCGGATACAGCGTCATGTACGAAGGATCTTGGCCTCGGGGGCGCGAATTCAGCGTAATTCACGAAGGATCATTGCGTCGGGAGCGCGAATCTAAAGTATTTTTGAATGTCCCAGCGTCCCCTTGAAAATCAGACAACGCGATTCGGGGACGCTAACCGAGCTAGTTTTCGGCTCCCCCCCCTCGCGCGGACAGTAACCATTTACAGTGGGAAGCAGAAAGCAATACTGTAACACTCGAAACTGGAAACTGGAACTGGCGCAGGGAGCAGCAAACCTAATCCTCGCAGCCTGATGGCCCTGCAAGGGGACCGGCGGATTAGTATGATTTGTATTAGTGTGCTTACGCTTATGTTTATTATTGGTGTTATTCTTACTATTACTAGTATTGCATGCATTGTTATTCCTATGTATAACATTTTTAATACTATCAGTATTACTGATATTATCATTCGTATTATTATTATTATTATTACTATATTATTATTATTATTAATAATAAAACTCCTCCGCCTCCTCCTCCTCCTCCTCCTCCTCTTCCTCCTCCTCCTCCCTCCTCCCTCCCCCCGGTGTTCGTGTAAGCCACCGTTTCGAGGCGGTTGCGAGGACTCCATTCCTCTCAGCCCTTTTTCAAGTGCCGCAGCCCGCGAGAGCTATGAGCAGATTGTCGCCCAAGGTGTGGAGGCGTTCCTCTCAGGGTCTGGCCAAAGCACCTATTCCTCCTCCCTCTCGGGTGTTGCTAAAGTGCCCCTGGCCCAAGGTGCCTCTAGGATGTCCGAGGAAGCCTCCGCGGCCTCCAGAGCACCCCTCAGGATGCCCAGAGGGCCCCAGGGGCTCCAAATCGAGCGAAGAGCTGGAGGCACCTTGGGCCAGGGGCATCTCTGGGAACCCCCGACCCTCACGTCTGCGACTGGGCAGCTTGCGGGTGGTGACGCGCCCTCGGTGCCCAGAGGGCCCCAGGGGCTCCAAATCGAGCGAAGAGCTGGAGGCACCTCGGGCCAGGGGCATCTCTGGGAACCCCCGACCCTCACGCTTTTTCGACTGGGCAGTCTGCGAATGGTGGCGCGCCCTCGGCGACTGACGCGGGCCTCGACGGCGGCCGCGGGCGGCGCGGGCGGCGGGCCCCCCCCGTGGCTCCTATGCCGGAGGGATCGGGGAGCAGCAAGGCACGCCACCATCAAGGCCCTGCACCCCGGCTCGGTGTTAAGAACATTCGAGGCTGAGGAAAGGACCTCAACTCGAAGCGGTTTCTCGAACCGCAGTCCGGGTCCAGACGTATACGCGAACGCTCTACGGCAAGGGAGGCCCCCAGAAGACGCCCAGGGTCCGGCCCATATCCTTGATCTTCTCCAGCAAAATCTGGAGCCCATGACACTCGATGCGTTCTCTTGGGGCGTCTGCTGGGTGTGGACCTCCCAGCGTCTCGAGAGAAGTCGCAGCGAGAATGCTTCGCGGCCTTCGGGCTCTGCGGGTCCTCGCCGGGCCCCAGGACCGCCAGGACACGACCCAGGACGCAGAGCCCGCTCCAGGGAAGAGGCCCAGACCTCTGGGGACCCTATGCTGAAAAACTCAAAACAGCGGGCGTCTGGGTCTGGGTTGTAGACAAGGCGCGCTGCACTACTCGCAAAGTAACTACTCGCAAATGGCCTGGATCCGCCACGGGGAATCTACAATCCACTACATCACAACGAACAGATATGTCTCAAATGTTTGCGAGTAGGCACTATGCGAATAGTGGAACTCGCCCTGTGAAGCTAGCATGGGGGAAACGGGTCCTGAAGAAAACGGTCCCTGGGCCCCGGGGCCTTTCCCCAGGACGAGGTCTTCATTCTGACTCGTTTTTCTGCCAATCCCGGGGCCCGTGGAGGGCCCCGAGAGCCCGAAAACGGCTGAAAACCTCAGGACCTGTTTCCTTCGGGACCCGCCTCCCCCATGGCGACTGAAACGGGGAAGGCAAAAAGATACGACGTCGCTGCCGGGACCTCTGCCGGGGTGCGTCATGACCAGAACTTCGAGGACACTCCAGCCGTGGCGAGGAGGACTCTCCAGCACGAGCAGCGGTATCGGGTGCCTTTACTCGGCGGCGAGCGACGGGGGGGGAGTGAGAAGGGGCGGGCCTGCTCAGAAGGCTCAGACGTCCCCTAGCCTTCTGGGAAATTTTCGGAGCCTTCCCCGAAGACGCAGAAAACCTCTCAGAAGTCCGGAAGCCTGCTGATAAGCCCCGCGGCCTTCTGAGAACGCCTTCTCCTCCTCATTTTCCCTCCTCGCTCGCAAACGAAATAAGATCAAGACGCGGCTGGGATTTTAAGCCTCATCCGCCGCATCATCATCATCATCATCATCATCATCATCATCATCATCATCATCATCATCATCATCATCATCATCATCATCATCATCATCATCATCATCATCATCATCATCATCATCATCATCATCATCAGCATCATCATCAGCATCATCATCATCATCACCATCATCATCACCATCAGCATCATCATCATCAGCAGCATCACCCTCATCATCATCATCAGCATCATCATCATCCTCATCGTCATCGTCATCCTCATCATCCTCATCCTCATCCTCATCCTCATCATCATCATCATCACCATCATCACCATCGGCATCACCATCATCACCATCATCATCAGCATGAGCATCATCATCATCATCAGCATCAGCATCATCAGCATCAGCATCATCAGCATCAGCATCAGCATCATTATCATCCTTATCCTCATTCTCATCCTCATCCTCATCCTCATCCTCCTCCTCCTCCTCCTCCTCCTCATCATCATCATCATCATCATCATCATCATCATCATCATCATCATCATCCGTTTTCCTCTGGCCTTCTGAGAAGCCCCGCCGCCTTCTCAGAAGGCCTTCTCCTTCTCACCTCCGCCCTGGGCACGTCGCCGCATCTCGGTCAGAATCGGTCCTTGGACCCTCCAGGGGTCCATCCGATGCGATTTTCACACCGGGTCGAGTTCTGGGGGGCCCGGGGCAGAAAAACAGACCCCGGAGTAGGGAACCGAACTCTATACACCAACACTTTTTCCGGGCCTGTACTGAAACTTGCACCAGAAAGCTGACCCTGGTGTCTACGGGATCCTGGTGTATAGATTGTTCGTTGTACACCAACCCACCCCGACGTCGTCCCCGACCCTCCAAAAGGTCCTGGGATTGAGAAACAGCCCGCCAATGGTAATATTAAACCAGCCCGCCAATGGTAAAGGTCCTGGGATTGAGAAACAGCCCGCCAATGGTAATGGTTCACCCGAAAAAATCATTAAGAAGCCCCCCCCCTCAGCAAAATGATAAGACTTCCCGCGCCGGGAAGCGTTACCCCGTCACCCGCCGTCAGAGGAGGAGGAAGAGGAGGAGGAGGAGGAGGAGGAG